CGTCTAAAGACCTTAAGCCTTCGGCGAAGGGGGCTTAAGCCCCCCCCCTTAAGCCCCCCTTAAGGGGGGGCTTCGCCGAAGACGAAGGCCCCCTTCGCCGAAGGTCCCGGGCCCATACTGGTGAATCGTTGCTGTCCATCCCTGCTGTATATTGCGAGGCATGCCGTTGCAGGCTGCACGCATCTTCGAACTATCTTAAGCAAGGAAAAGCAGAATATGGCGGGGGACATATGCCCAGTCTAATGCTTTTGACAAATGCGAGCACCTCGACCAGCCCAAGTGGCTTCGAGTCTTGCCGACTGATGCAAACGATCTTTGGCGAGAAGACTTTCTAGATCCTGCACCAAAGGCCAGCAATGCTTTCGAGGCAGGAAAGAAGCAAGTGCGACGTGGGCAGTGAGCAGAGCCAAGTGTCAGCCTTCGACCACTCGGAAAAGGTGGCCTCCAGGCACATACGGCAAGCAAAATGCACAAACACCAAGTAGAACCATGACCTCTTTTCGCCATTTGCTGCGCAGTGAGCCGATAGGAGCGAGAGCCTTAGTTCTACGTTCCTGACCGGCGGGTGGTAGATAGTGGCAATGAAGAATGACCAGGGGAAACCTTAGTTCCCGCTGTTGATGTCCGACATTTCCAATTTTGTACAAAGAGGTACAGATATCATGCTGGGAGAGTTCAAAGTTTCACCTGTTTCACACGGGCCTTGCAGCAGACCACTTTTTGCAATTACACAGCGCCTCACTGAATCATGCAAGACCCCCTTGTGGCACCTGTGCGTGCCGAAGGGTGCTGGGTTTGCCTTCCTTCGGGGAGGGTGTGCCTCCTTCACCCTCAGCTGCAGGCTTTCCTCGCTAGCGATTGCCGCCACTGTTTGACTATTGTCGGGCAACATGCGACTGGCCTTGTATGCGCCACCAGTTGAATGGGTTGTGCTACAAGAAAGGTCTTTTCCACTGATTGCTACTTAGAGACTGTCACTCCTGATCGACATGACTGCTACCGGCGCTTGAGTATCGCGAGACAGCCGACCTGCAATGTGACTTTGTTCTGCCGCACTGTGGTGTGGCTGCTGGTCACCAATATTCGGGAAGGACAGTCCGTTTGAAGCCTCTAGAAGACTTTCCCTGACCACAGACCTGCGCTGTCGTCCTTGTCTTTCGAGAATTCAGGCTCTTAATTGCCATTGGTTTCTGTTTCACACGTTTCACCCAGTGTAGAGGAAAGACTACTGGATGGTGGAGATTCGGCCTGCGGGCTTGGGGTGTTTGTTGGTGTTGGTTTGGGGTCTTTGTTCTTTTCTCCACCATCTGACTGTTCTTCCCTTCCTTCAACGATGACCTGGGCACCATGCCCACACGGCGTCCGTACTCGTGGAAAAAAAAATGCGGACAGTCGCGCGCGCGGCACGCCAAATCGCACTCTCGCCTGCATTTCGCGAGTCCTGGCAAAGCCAGCAGATTGTCAAGTGGCGCTCTCAGTGGTCTGTCTCCAAGAAGGGGCCTCCAAGTTCCAGTCATCAGGCTGGCCGCTTGCGTCTCATTGAGATCGTCCAATTATTGCCGTCTCATACTGGCCTCTGAGGTGCGTCGACAGGAAGTTGCTGCGCTTTTGCACTTGTGTCTTCTTTCCTTCAATGATGACCTGGGCACACCGCCCACATGGCGTCCGTGCTCGTGGAAAAAAAATTGCCGTTGGGGTTCCACTTACACTGGATACGTATGGAAGATGTTCAAGTGTCAGTGTGGAAGCGTAGGTGTTCCAGTGTACGTGTCGGAGTGTTTAATGTGGAAGTGTCGTGTGTGAGTGGAAGTGTCAGTGTTCAAGAGATTTTCCAGAAGAACTCTCGCAATGCTGCCGACTGAGATCAATCTCAGGGACTCTTCACGTCTTTGCAACCATCCACTTTTGACGAACAGAACAAACCAGAGTTTCTTTGACCTTGAAGACTTTCGTGACTGAGCTCGTGGGTTCACGCGGTTTGGATTAGGGATTGCTGTGCAGGTGGCTCATTTCATAAGTTGATCCTGTGGCAATTCTTGTTCAAGAAGGAAGGGTGAGGTGGGCACCTCTTTGACGCGCGCGAATGTCCAAAGTGCACCCACCCACACCATGAATGACATCTTGGCACCTTCAGAAGCTTGCTGATTCAGGCCAACTCTGAGCCTTGTGTGAGCCGCATTCACTTCCGTCCGCAGACGATTCTTGAGACACCAAACGCTGAAGTGAAAATCAAATGGAAATCGCCAGTGTCGTGGACTTTGAGTTTCTCCTGCGCCTGGAAAAGGACCCCCATGTCGAGAAATGTTCTTGACAGTTAAGCAAAAAAGGGCAAAACATATTCTTGGTTTCCACAAACGCAAGCCACACAGCCGCTTCGCATCGACAGAATATAACGGTAGAGTGCTGTTGTGTTTCCATTGTGGTGGTGGTGGTGGTCGTTTTTCAGGCGCAGAAGGTTCTGATTGAGCGCGCGAGGAAGAGGGGACTGGATTGCGAAGTATTCGGTGGTGTCTTTGGGTTTGGTTCATGTTGAACAACAATTTTGTTGGATACTGTTATGGTGCTAAGATTTTCACGAAAGGTAGCCCTTTAGGGGATACCTTGAGTTTGTCTTGCGAAGCAAGTGTTGGGACGTCCGGGTCTAATAATTGATCGCTCAATTCAGACCCCCCCCCACCCCCCCCCCGCCCGATTTTATTTTTCAATACAGCCCCCCCCCCCCGCCCCCTTGGAATTGATTTTTCAATACAGACACCCCCTCCCCCCCCTCCCCCCCTCTAAAATCAATTCTCTCCTGGAGATCGTCTTCGTGAGCCTCTCATGATTTCAGGATAGTTGAAACCCTCTTGAACATTCAGAAAGAGTGAATATGAAATTCTAATCACGAAAGGTGTTCTGTGAAGCGCGTCAATTCTCTCCTGGGGAGCGTCTTCGTGAGCCTCTTATGGTTTCAGGATAGTTCAAATCCTATGATGTTCCGATTCAATGCTCACCGATGATCTGAGCCATGGGGCAAGTTTGTTGTCCTAAGAATCTTTTTGAACATTTTGAGAGCACATGTTTGAACATTTAAAGTGCATATGAACATATATGTACAAAAGGTCGCCTCCGAGGGGATAAATCACCATGTCGAACATTGCATTTTTGTTCCTGCCTCTCGTGTTCTCTTCTCTTCCCGCTGTCCTACCTTTCGTGTCTCCCTCCTCTCAAGTTGACATTTGCGGGCTGAAAACGATCACATTGGCGTTCATGTTTTTTCACTTAGTCGCTGTTCTCATACATTCATACAATTGTTCCATGGTCAAACTGAGGCTATGCTGCAATGATGTTGTGATGTGAGATGCGATTGTAAGCCTTCAGCAAGACGGCGGACCCACATGCATGAACCACCAAACAAACTACAAACCTTAGACTCGACAGAAAACAATTAGTACCCTGTGTATTGGCACGCCAGCAATGAACCTTCTTCCAACGTTTCTGTTTGATGATCTCCCATTTGCAAAGAGCTTGCTGATCGTAGTTTGTGCACCAACATCACACTAACCACGCACGGTAGTGATTGTTGATGGTTGTTGCATTGTTTCTGTGAAGTCGTGAGGAGTGTGCAATGCAGTTCAACGGGCGGCAAGTTTTGGATGTTACCAGGGTGCCACGTTTGAGTCCGCTGCCGCTGTTATGTATAGATGTCAGTGGCTGCCAAGGCTACAAGAATAGGTTTTCGAACATTCAGAATTCAGTGGCAGCAATGTTTAGCAAAGAGTCGCACTTGAAAAGCAGGCGGAACATGAGCTGTTCATGCTTTCCAGATTCCAAGCCAAGTCACAAGCACCTTGGGCGGCCGTGCTTCGGAAGCCACAACTGAACATTAGAGGAATGTATTGGCTGCCATGGCAGTGGCTGCTGGCTGAGGTTACTTGAGGGGTGTGAAGGTGGAGGGGCTATCAAATCTAGAGCATCTTGCCTGTTTTTCCTCAATCAGATTAATATACTGTGTGTATATTCTGGGGTGGTCTTGCTTCTCATCTCCGCATCTAGATTGCGTGGAGTATGGTCTGGGTCGAAACCCTCACACGCTCTTTTACTTTATGAACGCTTTTGCATCAGATTGGTGATACCACATGTACCCACCAACAAAAAGGGGCGACGTGTGACTTTCTCACATTGGTTTGAACTTCTGAGGGGTGTTGGCAATGGGAACCACGGTGAAATCAATGCGTTCGAGAGGGAGTACGAGTTTGGTCTTTTAGATGTCCCGACATGTCGCTGATGCCACGTTTTTGAAAGACGGAAATTAATCCACGTCCCAGCCTCTGCCAAAGATCAGGCATGGACCCCGCTATTATGATATCCTTTTTGCGCCAACTAGGTGTCTTCAGCGAGCTTCCACAAGAGCTTCTTCGTGCACAGAGCATCTCATGCGAAGAAAGTGGCCGTCGACCCAGAGATCTTTAATTCCAGTCTTTGAGTGGTGCCCAGCAACAGGGCCTTAAAGGGCAACTTTCCACTTGTACACCTCTTGCCGGCCAAAAATGGATGCTGGTGGCTTGAGTGACAGCATTTGGAGGATCTTTGGGGTTATTCTTGATGTCTGGTATTGATCGGCTGAAAACATGCATGCACTCAAGCAGTGGCTTGAACCTCCACCCATCCCGAGACGATTTCACCTTGGGAAGGCCTGAGAACCAGCTCAGAGGCAAGGCTTCTAGAGAGTATCTGTTGGGCTGAGTGAAAATCAATTCTTGTTCAATTGGAAGGAAACGATGACTTCAGAGCAATGGAAACTGCATCTTTAGATGGTATTGGACGGAACGAAACGAATGTGCATGGAGCTTTAGCTGATTCTGAGACATCTCCATGTGATTTGTAAACTATGGCCATTCTTATCAGCCACGTCTTGGTGCCATTTGATTCCTGCTTGGCCATGGGAGAAGGGAAACATTTTGTTTTCTCCACGTACCTTGGCTGCCTTCAAATTGCTTGTTGTGTTTGCTAGACTGGCAAAATATGCATCATCGCACATTCAAATGCATTCTGCATGCGCAAATGCATCTGGCATCATATGGCGTACAAGCGCAACTGCACCTAATAGATATTAAAACTCCCAACACACACTTATAGAAATGCGTACTGACTTGACAGCGGTGCCACACGCCGGCCTAAGTGAAAAACGTAAGGAACCAGGACAGGTGTCAGTAAGTGGAGGCCCTTGCTGCAAGGTCGGAGGCCAGCAAGACTCAAAACACGAAATGCGAGTAGCGATTAGTAACAGAACCGCATGAACCACCATGAAAGCAAACCACAGCGAGAACAACAGGTAACCCGTTTGGCAGGTACGTTTACACGGGGGGTCTTCGTTGGCCACTGCTCCTCTGGGACCACGGTGGCCCCCTGCTGTCACGGAAAAGGAAAAGAAACCATTCCGACTGGAACCTCGTGAATCCAGAGACGCCTCCCCGAGGGGAGGCATTCCTTTTCAACTAAGCTCCGGACGATGGTGGGGTTTTCCCAAGCAGTGCCGGTGCCGGCACAGATGTGGGGTCAGGTTGTTCACATGTGGTGCCGGTTCGCCGAGTGGCACGCCAAAGGTGTCCATGTAGGAGACCACGTCCATCCAGAGGGTGGCGGTGTGTTTGGTCCAAGGTCAGAGACGAAAGCATAGAGCTCCGAGAGGAGGCAGTCCAAGGTGTGTAGAGGTAGAGGAACCGGAAACAGGGGG